ACCATAAGCTTAAGTGTCCACGAGCCGTTTAAATATGCATATAAGTTACTTCAACAACCCAACTCAAGCTAAATTCGAGCCACACTTGAACTAATTTCAAGCTTTGAAAAAAATCTTATTTTACAAATTTGAATCCAAACTCATAAAATTTGAACCGATCTCATTTGTATAGTTTTAGTGAGTCGAGTCATGCACCAAAAATCTTGGCTCGTTGAACTCGAGCACAATGAAAAAACCGAGCTCTGTTCGATTTGATCATTGCTTGACTTGGATCGTTTGTAACCCTCATTGCCCCGCGAGATACTTGCCATATAATGACATTTTCAAAAACAATAACAAAAAAAGAAAGTCTCAAACCAGTCAATAATGAATCAAAACATAAAACAAGCATACAATGTAATCCCATCAAAATTAAATCCCAGTCAGAACAATCCAAACTCTCCCGTCGTCTAAATGAAAATTATTATTTCTTTTTTTTTTTAAAAAAAAAAGAAAACAAAAAAAAGAACTGAAGAACACAGAGCTTAAATGAGTTATTAGAGAAAGGACAAGTTTATGAAGGCCAATGCAAAGCCATTAAAAGAACCATCTGGTGGCTGCAACTGCAACACCAAAGCTTGCTTATAAAAAACCGTACGATTTATTGCAGACTCAAAGCGTCCAGGTGGTAGAAAAGCATACCCCTGAAAATTCAGAAAGTCGCGCAGTTAAAGAAGAATAATAATAATAATAATAATAATAATAATAATAATAATAATAATAATAATAATGAAAAAAATAGGGGAAGGGTCTTTAACAAATTTATAGTTATTAATGTTGCTTAAATATTAAATGGCATTAATAATCTAAGTTGATCTGTCGAACACTCTGAAGTATACCTGCAGCATTACAGTCTGGAACACAGGAGCAAGTGAAATATTAGGGTCGACAAAAAACCTCTCCACGGTGAGCATTTGGAGATTTCCTGGTGTGGTCTGTAGCATGTTAAGAGCAGCTCGATTTGCATACACGCATACTGTGTCAGACTGCAGCAGTAGAAGAAGAACTTTGTCAAATATAAATGATCATAGAAGACAAACATGATACTGAGAATAATCTGCATTTATGTACCTAATTACACAAAAACCAAATGATATGACCACCATACCCGTGTGGATTCGCATTTTCTTCACAAATATCCCTTTCACAATTTGGACTTTTGTCTCTCGTTTTGGAAATATAATAGTACATATAGTCTGGACTTTTGTAGCTAATTTTGTAATTAAGCGTTGATATAGTTCGGCATCTTTTTGCAAGTTGAAGAACAGAAAAAGAGATGCATTATAATGCAGAGATAAGAAATGCAGTGTAATGCTTCCACTTCTAAGTTCGTTATCCTTTTGTATAGTTTAAGAACAGAAAAAGAAATGCATTATAGTGCAGAGAGATAAGAAAAGCAGTTTAATGTTTCCACTTTTCAGTTCGAGAAAGAAAAATGTAAGACAATTGTGAGAGCACAACAAATAACAGCCCACCAACAAATCGATGCAGAACAAACATAACTTGTAACAAATACATTTTAATTGAACGTTGAAAGCCACAAGCTTTAACTTTTAAACAGCATCAAATATACAGTTTTCGCCACCATACTTGTATGTTAAAAACTAATATTAACATACCATGGACGAGAAACAAAGTATAGCATAATGGTGCCGTTGTATCTGATCGGACAATGAATTAGGAGTCTCAAGGTTCAAGCCAATCATATCCACACCTAAACTCGATCTGTATAAAACAAAAGTATTTTCCCAGGTTATTGACCAAGAAAGACTAGAACTAACACAGAACGATTGCAAATTCACTACATACTTAAATACTTTCCTGAAAAAACAAATGCCTTTTAGTGTAATAAGCAAATATAAATAAAATCACAACACTTGATCATGCGAAATGATAATCATAAAGTTTACACTATGAGAATAGTTGAATAGTTGATAATAAGGTAAACAATGCCAGATGGACAAGAAATGAAAAAATCAACTTTTTTTTTACTAACCTATAGCTTTGGTGTATCATGCTAGCTAGGTTCTCAGAAAATGTTTCTCGAGAGAAAATAGCACTACTTGCTTCTGCAGGGTTCACAAATCCAACGTATGCTACTTCCTCAGAAATCATTTTCACACAGGAAATTACATGTTTCACATATAGCTTAGCCACAGCTTCGATTTCATCCAGATTTTGTGATACATAAGGAAACTGAAAGGCTAGAACCAGCATTGAGGGTGGGAGGCCACTGCTTGCCTATGGCATTGTACATAAAAAAGTAGTATGGGATTAGGGCAGAGAAAAAAGAAACAACAGTGCTAACACAAAGGGCATTTGGTGAGAAGACTAAGGGTGTGATTGGATATAAACTTGACAAGTAAAAAACCAATCAAAACTCAAATTTAACTCAACTTTAACCCAACCCTACTATTGTCAATATCATCAATATAATGAAAAAATATAAACCGTTCATTGTTACACATCACATCAATTTTAATTCACTATTTATCCACTCACATAAGTTTAGCTAACCATCACTTCCAATCATTTTTCTCCTACTTTACATCAAATCAACTCTAATTATTTTATTTTAAAGATTATTTTAATTCAAACTTAAATCATCACTAACAACTAACCATACCACTTTTTCTTCAAAATTAGCGATGGTTAACAAAAAAAATCAATAAAAAACCAATCAAATCCATCCATATCCAATCACATCCTAAAAGAAGTGACAGCACACCAAAGCCATTTTAGGAACTCAACTATATCTGAAGATTCTGAACCCAACAAGAAGATTCGAAATCCACAAGATAAGTAAGGAGCATCATTGGGACTAGTTTCGTCAATTGGTGCAAAGATTAGTTCTGAGCAAGCTCCAAAACCATTGTCTCCCATTCCATTAATCATCTGCATCAAAAAGGACCACGGAATAAACTAGATCAGGCTATAAAAAGAATGAATTCCAATTGTTCGACGTGACAGACAAATCACAATGAAGTAAATCCTTTTTACTCTAGATACAGGAGGAGGAATTGTAGTTAACCAAGCTATACAGGTTATAAATGGATATATAGCCACATAGCAACACAATGGTTAAGGATTGTCTCCATTTTGAAATGCAGTATGCACTAAAGCAAGGCTGACATTCATCTAGAAACTCTTAATCGTTGTTCCCCATTCTTTAAGAGGCAGGTGAATGGTGAAAAAAATCCCAAAAAGATAGCAGGATAGGTTAGATTCATGGACATTTTCTCAGAGATTTGTGTATGGAACTGTAATTGACAGTGACGCAAAAGAAAAAAAAAATAATGGTTTTGCGCCTTGCGGTGCTTAATTTTCTTTAATTGGAAACATAAGAGAACGACACTGTATTAAAAACAAAATTTATTCATATATAGTTACATAGGACTAGATTATTTACAATAAAGGAGGTCAGAATAAATCTCTTTGACTCTCTATGTTATTGTTGTGCTTTTATATTTCTGACTTTTTGAAATTATTTCCTGATATAGACTTAGTTATGAAATCTGGATTTCCTTCTCTCTTCAACTGGGTTTGATCTCTATATGTTAGTAACGAAATGTGCGTACTCTATCATGAATTACCTGCAAATGAACAAAATCCCCCAAATAATAATAACGCTGGCGATCAGCACGGTCCAAACGAATAATTTCTACTGCCTGTCATAAAATTATGAACAAGAGATTGCAAAAACAATGAAATAGACTGCAGTAACTCATGTAAAAGAGAAAATTCAGCATCATTAAGCTCAACAAACCTCATCCTTGTTATTGGTTTGGCCAAACAGTGCAGAAAATTCAGATACACGGGAAATATCAATTCCTTGAAATGCAAAGGCAGCAGGACTTGACGCTACTATATGATCATTAAAACTGAAGCCCATCCAAGCCGCACGACACCCCGCCAGAAGCTTCACCAAGCTTGCAGGGAAAACATTCTGCCACCAACAAAATATACAATTTCCAAAATAATAAGTAAAAAAAGAAAAAAGAAAAAGTTGCACTGGGTAGTGCCAAAAAGCTTGATGAAAGTTGGCAGACGCAACTTCAACTTCACAAAGTAAATATCGTCTGACAATACATCTTCTAGATCATGTTGCAGGAGAAAGACTTTACTATTGACTACAAATAGTATGACTCACTTGAAGCAGCAAAGAGGCCTTCAGACAAAGTATACTATCACAATTTGCATAGACTCCAAAATTAGTGGTTCGCTTGGTGGAAATAATAATATCATCACTAGAATTAGCATTCATCAATGTCCATCCATCTTCAGAGAAACAATTGATAGCATCATTGAAGCTCCTAAACAAACAAACAAAAAAGAAGCACAGAGGTATTCAGTAATATTGAAGCTTGTGACAAATGCATCATAATCAATGTAATGCTTCACATCACCACATGCAGTCAAATACCTTATGATTTAAAGCGTACAACAAAAATCTTGTGGTTCAGAACAAACTCAATTAGAGATCATATCATCAAGAATACAATGGATGTTTGACTGTACTGTTAGCTACAAACTCATTTACTTGATAATTTACTGAAATTTCATGCTCTGACCACTGTAATGAGCCCATCTTAACTTCAATGAGTGTTTCTGGAACTTTCTTAGACCACCAAAACATTGTTATTTCACTGTAGAAATTGACTGTGCATGATTCTTAAGAGCTATGCCACAGCGACAATATATTAAGGGTCCCTCTCATCATTTTTAATGATATTTGGCATTTTAATCAAGTATTACAAATGGTGTGAAATTGACGAATATAACCTTCTGTAGTTTTTCTCTCCCCAAATCCCTATTTTTTCTCTCATTCATTCTTACTATTTCTTTCTCGCTCTCTTGAATCTCTACACATTCGTTGTTCTCTCCTTCGATTAGTAATCCTCATAAGTTTTCACTTCTTACTTCCTTTGATATGTAAGTAGATTGGAAGAAAATGAATCATAATAATTTGGAAGATAATAGGCATCGTTGTTCTGCCATCCTTACCTAGTTACCCTTTTGGCAAATAATGTCAAAACATCATTTAATAGTGATATTAGGGAGTAGGTGTCTAAAGTGAAACAGCAATAAATGGACTTTGAATATAGAATGAATTGACATGTAGAGTAGACATCTTACCTCGAAAGTCTTAGGCAGAAGCATCTCAAAAGAGCAGGATCCTCATTGCAAGAATGTCTTGGGATGCCACTTGTCTCATTGGCCATATACTCAATATAGAGAAGTGCCTATGTATAGAAAAATCAACTTGTCCAATATTATACTCATAAAACAACTACAAATTCTAGTAAATACATTGAACTAAGGACATTTTAACAGGTGTTGGCAGACCCAGAATATGAATACATTAACGAACGGTTTAGAATGGTACTTCTCTACTAAGAATATCTAATTAGGCTTTTTGACAAATTGAATTTCTGACTAAACTAAATAATGTGACATCATCCCATTGGGGGGTGGGGAACACATGTAACACTGATTCAGTCGGATACAATAAAAATAAATTAAAACAGTATAGAATATATCTTAGGACTTAGAAGAGTTACCATCATACTTTTTTTTTCTTATCATGCCTTTAATCGAAAAATTTTACCTCCATAATTTTTTTCCTCATTTTGGAGGCAAGTTGTACATTCCTCTACTAAGAAAAACGGAGACTGATCAATCTGAACTTCAAAAAGGAAATAGAAAGGTCAACGAAATCTAAACATTTTACCTCTTCCAGGCCTAAGTTTCCTATAAAGGTAGATCTCTAATGTCTGGAATTTGGTGTGCAAGGAAAATCGATACATTTCTAATGTTAGATCAAATCAATTATTTGGTGTTAAGGTAATAGCCGAGAACTGTTCCCCACATTCTATGGCATTCTACATATATGGAACTTACTGTGGACAATACATAGAGTGCATCAAAAGAAGTATGATGAAAGGATCCTAATGTGGAAAATAATACTAGATTGCAGCCAAGCATGTCAATATACAGGATCCAAATATAACCCTTACTAAAAATATCACAAAAACACATAGCACTGAAAACACCATAAATTGGAAAATAGCATCATGTTAACTGGACATTACCGTTAACAATCACCTCTCCAAAACCTTAAATTCAAATTCCAAAAGATAAAAAAATAAAAATAAAAGTTCATGTCATTTGTTATTCGTAATTCATTTAACTCAAATATTTAAAGGATCACATGTCATTGAATCACTCATTTGTTATTTTATATATATATATATATATACACAAACACACACACACACACGATTCAATCATCTTTTCATGATTAAAGCTAGCATTAAAATGCTGCAAAAGAGCACTCCACTGGTTAAAATTAGTTTTATCAAGTGAAAATTCATAATTGCTGACAAAATTTGGAAAATATTAGCACTATCTTACAGATACAAAAAGCACGGGGTCACTTAAAATAGCTGTGAATTACTGAAAAATAACAACAGTACTCTTAGGGGCAGATATTTTGGGATTCAAAATTTTTTCCTATGTCAACCATTAGATCACTACATCCAGTGGTTGAGATTTAACCATATTTCTCAAATTGGGATTTAATTCTCACAATAACCATATCACATACAGACAGATTTGAAAAGGACTTGGAGTCCTTTTATAAAATTAATATAGGAGAAAAATCTAGCGAACATCTCTTCAAGTGACTTACCTCCTCTGAGAGAAGTAATTAAAATATCCAGAGTTAGTAGTTTAAATTAACAGAAGCTATATGAGACATGATAGGAAAATTTAAACTAGATAATCTACTTACTGGAACAATTGTCTTCTTCCCGAGAAGTTCAGATGACTCATAAAGCGGGCGCACCACCACCGGAATAGATGATGCCTGCAAGAAGTTCGTCACAAGTTTGTCTTTAACTCAACTTCTCTATCAAAAGTTCAAGCACATAGTTTCATGTTTGTATGTGTAGCAGAGGAAAGAGAGTACACCTCAAAATCATAGTGCTCAACAATATGTATGGTTGATCCCTCTTCGCCAGGGCAAATCATATAACCACTAGCCAGCATCCTCCCTCTCACAAATTCAAGTGCAGTGGGAGAACTTGGACCCGCATCAGAATCAGAAATTGACTTCTCACATACCTTAACATGAAGTATGAAAGATAGAAGTGTACATTAACAAGAAAACCTTCACCATTTCAAAAGATTTGATAAAGAGTTATGTCCATTGATCTCAATCAGTGAGGTCTGTAACATGATACCCTCAGATAGAATAATAATCTGTAAAAGCTACAAAATAGATCAAAGCAAATTTACTCGTCATCTCGACATCACACTGTTCATCTAAGTACTAGAAAAAAGATAATCATACCACCAAGCTGCCATCATCTAAAATAGAAGAGTATCTTAATGTCCAGAAATCTCGAGCCAAAGCCATGGTAGTTGGGGCATAGTACTGCAGGAAATGGGACAAAATAAGGCCAACAAGAAAAAAGAAGAGAAACAAAAGAAAGTTTTGGAAGAAAAACCAACTTCAAATGTAAAATGTCCACCTTTGTGTATATCAATTCAATAGCTCCCCCATTTGTAGGATACTCGGCAACAACATCCATACCACGACAAAATCGTGACCAGGAAGGTCGGTCCTTGAGCATTTCAAATGTCTGCATGGAATTCCATTCAAGCAAGCTAAAGAAATTAAAGTTGAAATGGTTGCTGTTTTTCCTAGATGATCTATTTAAAATGGGATTGATGTATAACATATTTATTTAGCTCGACTTGAAATGATTGATACTCGTCCTTATTTTCTAGTTTAGTTTCAAGGTCTCTCATTATACATCACTTGCATTGTATATGCAAGCAGGGGTGAACCTGTGAACTGAGGTGAGGCTAGGAGTTTTATCTTAACAGAGGTAATCCAGAGCAAAATAAAAGAGAATGTCGTGCATAAGACAAAAAATAAAAAAAAAATAAAAAAAAA